GTATGATTTAGTTTCACTTTTCATGAAATGAGTTAAGTGTACAATACAAGCTGAGAGTGTTGGATGATTTCCATGCTTCAGAACCCAATACGGTCCAATGCCAGATGAGATTTGAGAAAGAGTATATTGCTAGTCATTGCTAGGCTTCCACATCTGAGCATTAAGAAGCAGTATCAAGAACCATGTCTTAACTTTCATTTGGTTAAATTCAGATCTGTGTATACATCCTGAAGCATCACAATGTTAGGATAATAAAAGAACTTGGGTGTATTCTGAATGAATTTGTAATTACAGTATGACCTGGCTGTGGAACAATAACCTGCTGGCTAGCTGTGCTAAACCTGAGTCCAAGGGAATTATTTGAAATTGTATCCAACAATAATTACTAGTATTTATATAGGATAGAGGGAACTTTTAATGGATAGTAGCAAAATGGAAAGTTCGGAAATAATGGTTTTTAATATTGCAGTAGTAGCGATCTGCTTCATTTTCCCCTGGATGGCTAGACAACATGAAAGTTCAACCGGTTAGTTTATCAGGGATACTGCACTCATTATAGCATGAGCTTTGCTTTATAGTAGCGTTTTCCCTACATCCATAGGCAAAGCAATTCTAATGAGCGTATGTTTTCAAAATATTTGTAACTCGTGGTATCTTTAGAAAAGACCCATTAGCTGATTCGCAATTCAACCTTGGTGTTAAAACTCCCACCTCACAACACAAAAAGGTATAAATAATGTCGGGGTTTCTAATTTTTTAAATCATTATCACAATTTCTCTACATTACTCACTTACTATTTCAAATTAACACTATACATACACTCAAGTTAAAATGAAGTTCGATCTATCCACTGCTGCCACCATCGCTGCTGCCACCGTTGCTCCAGCTGCCATCGCCTCAGCTTCCGGAATCGTTCATCCTGGAGGTCTTGCTCTTATGGCCGCTCCCCCAGGTCACCATCTTCACACCAGAGGCCTCATGATCCGTGACTCGTTCTCTAATGTCAACACCGGCGCCTATAACAATGGTCAGATCACTAACACTGGTCCTCTCGGATACAACTCCAACAGCTGGAACAATGGTTTCAATTCCCACCAAGATTCTGCCAGCACCCCATTCGGCTCCTCAGGGAACTCTAACTTCAACACCTGGAACAACCAGCACTGGGATAACAGAGTCGCACCCGCCGGATACTACGGCTATGGAGGATATGGCCATCAAGGCTACGGATACCCAGCTTACGGCTACCCTCATTATGGCGGTTTCGGTAGCTACCATCGCTACTACTAGATGCATATCTCCCAAGATGCTTTTTCATTACTTTTTTATAACGCTGTTTATACTATATGTTCACTTTAGTTGTATATAAACGTATGCCTCAATCATAACATTATATGTTTCATTGTATCAAATTTCTATGCTAGTAAGATGATTCATTTGATTGATGTCACATTTTTCTCATTGATATTTTTCAGATTATCTATTCACTATACCATTTCTATTCATTTTGGTAGATACTTTCTAAATGATCAAATGGTATGATTAAGCATTTTATTACTCCTATGGAGGTAGTTATATGCCACATACACTAAAAATTGTATTTAACAGCTTTAAATGTTCGAATAATCGATATAATATGGATCACGATCTTTGAAGGGTGACTTGGTGGTCAACGATTATAGGGGCAGTGACAGCCGAATGAGTAGCCACTATTTATTAGCAAATGGCCACTCTTCAAAAATTATTACCCATAACTGGATGACTTTAATAAAACTATCTATCTGCCATAGACAAAACAGATGATGTCAAGAAAAAAGACACCCTGTAGTTTTAATTTATCTATAAATTTATTGTTACACTTACTTTATACAATGGATAATAAAGATTCTATGGACATCGAGTCCCCAGTTGAGCAAATTACTCAAAGCAACGATTCTGTAGCTACTAAAGACCATGCAGGGACATCAGAGCAAGCTGCTTCCACATCTGACCAACCACCAAACAACATCGAAAGCTCATTGGACCCAAAGGACATGGAATATGTAAAAAAAGAAAAAAGTCTAGCAGAGTTTCTTGTTCAAATGGACCAATACTCTCCAATTGTAAGTAAACCAGCTTATGGATTTTCTATCATTTTAAATTGAGTGGGAGGCATGCTCAACATTCTGTGTGTTATATAGATCCCAGATGCTCTCACAGATTACTATCTTTCTCAAGCTGGGTTTGAGTGCGACGATGTTCGAATGTAAGTAGTTTAGTTATCCAATATTGCATGCCGTTATAATGCTCTGTCGCTCTTTATTGACACAAATATGGCTAAATAAATAAATAAATAGAAAAAAGCTGCTGGCAATGGCAACACAGAAATTCATTTCAGATGTTGCTGCAGATGCATTCCAGTATAACAGAATTCGCCAGCAAGCAAGCAAAGAGAAAAAGATTTTAAGCAAAGCAAGTCATCGGTCACTTCTATACCATACAAATCTCAACAACAATAACATATGTATTACATTGATTTTAATAAATCTCAATAATATTTGTTGAAATAGGATCGAAAAACTGTGCTGACAATGGATGATCTGGCCGCTGCACTTTCCGAATATGGCGTCAAGGTCAAGAAACCAGACTATTTCATGTAAACGGCCGTGTATAAAAAGTATTTTCCGCATAATATATTTCTTTATCAATTTTTCCCGTTGGATTCCACAAAATTTTACGCATATACAATCATACTTCCTAGAATTAGTTAATGAAGGTCTGTAAAGCATGTCATTTACATAGTGGTGATAGTATATGATAAAATTGTTTATTTGTAATGGCTACTTAATTGGAACTTTTGGAGACATACAAAATGGCCCTTGGACAATGCTAATACCGAAACAATAGATCGAGTTAAATTGGCATATCTCTTGTGATATTGTATTCTAATGTTGGCATCCCTAAATAATATGGGGTAGCGATTATAAATATTTTGAGCATAAATTCACAGGGGTTCATCTATTACTATGTTATGTTATGTTATGTTGTGTTGTGTTGTGTTGTGTTGTGTTGTGTTGTGTTGTGTTTGATCCGATGAGGAATCTGCAAGACTAACCAAATAACTTCAAGCGTTTCCCACCTGGTTACTTTACGTTAATCCTATTGATTGATCGGCTGATGGCATTTTGATAAGCCCACTTATGATAGCCCCTGCCTTTGGTTGACGATGTAGATCCCCAGAATGTGTGATTCGCCCATAATACCCGCATATTAGCTACTACTGACCTCTAGGCTATTAAGCATTGAAGGAAACTAGAACCTTTCTTAGAGCTAAATCATACATTTGCCACTTTTGTCTAGTTAACATTACTCAACCCTACATAGAGTCACTCTATATCTTATTCCCGATAACTTAAATCGTTTAATATACTTTGATAGTATAGCCATGAAAGACATTTTAAACAAGCAGGACCTTGAAAATCTCCTCGACAACTATGATACCTTCATGTTTGACTGTGATGGTAAGCTTGGCTGCACTTTCTTTTATTTAAAAATAACGATAAATCGGAAAATAATTGCTGAACATTTGACTGTATTGTTGTCTATAGGTGTCATCTGGCGTGGCCATGAAGCTATTGAAGGAGTAAAGGACTCCCTGGAGCTGTTGAGAAGCAAAAGTAGTGTCCCAAACACTAATATATTAGTTTGAGTAAACATTGCTGAGAATGGACCTAGAATATAACATAACAAATATATATTGATCTGTTGTTTTAGACAAAAAGTTAATATTCGTAACAAACAACAGCTCGACCTCTCGTAAAGATTATACAAAGAAATTCGAGTCGCTTGGTATTTCAGCCGACAAAGTGAGTGGAACTTATCTCTAATATTAATGTTGTCACATTATTTTTAAACGCAGCCTAATGTTCGTTTGTGATATAATGTTCAGGGAGAAATCATATCTTCAGCTTACGCCACAGCTACCTATCTAGCAGATATTGTAAAATTCCCCAAAGACAAAAAGGTGTATATAGTTGGTGGACTTGGAATTAAAGAAGAGTTTGAAGAAAAAGGGATCAACTGCATTTTTGAGGTACATATCTAGGCACTATTATACTATCTTGTCGAAATATAAAACAGCCTGCTGGTCATTAATGTTAAATATATACTGTTAGAACGAATTCCCTAGAAATGTGAAGGAAGAGCTGAAACATCTAAAGCCCAACCCTGAAGTAAGTCATCAATCACTAAACCTCTAGAAAGTATTTTAATGATAACCAAATCAAATATATACGACCATAATTATTTGTAGGTTGGAGCAGTTGTATTCGGAATCGATTTCGAGCTGAACTATATCAAGATGTCAAAGGCTCACATCAACATTGTACATAACCCTGACTGCATGTTCATTGCAACCAACGATGACCGTGTCTTCCCCATGGCCAACTATGATTTCCCTGGCTGCGGCTCCCTACTCCACTCCCTCATCCTCTCAACTGGTAAAAAGCCAACAATCATTGGCAAACCAAACCATTATATGCTAGACTGCATAAAGACCGAGTACAAGGACATTGATCTAAAGAGAACTTTGATGATTGGAGATAACCTGGACACCGATATACTCTTTGGGATTAATGGAAATGTAGATACATTGGCTGTATTGACTGGTGTTGCCAAGAGAGAAGATTTCACTGGTTCTTCGGCCAAGATTGTGCCCAAATACTGTATGAAATCGATGGGTTTGCTATCTGAGATGCTTAACTAGATATTCATTTCTCTACAAAAGCATCCAATACATCTCTATGTATATAATAGAGAAGAAACTATTAAAGATATTTTCTTGATAATAAAGTATCAGGGAATAGATCATGTTGCCAAGAAGCTCTTTGTGAGATAATAAGAACTAAATCTAATAAAATATAATTAGTAGATAATTATATTTAAGTTGGGAAAATTTGGAGATTAAGAGTTACACAGGAATATAATTCCATATAAAGTCGATAACAACAAGAATGTGTGAGCCATTGTAGTGTAGAGGTATCACAACACGTTGTGGCCGTGTTAACCCTGGTTCGATTCCAGGCAATGGCAGTTTCTTTTTTTTTCTAGTTTATCTGATGAGTGGATGACTTTTGTTTTTGCTTTATATATAAATTTATACAAATTGTTGTCATGAGGGGCTTTGTAAGGTTTTATAGTTTTACTAGATCTCTCAGCCATTTCCTGTAAACCCTAACTTATTTTTTGAATATACCATCAAGCTGCATACTACCTTAGTTTAAAAGGTCCCCAGAAATTGTATACCAAATGGCAAGCTCTCCTCCAAAAGGGAACAGACAGCCACCCTCACATATACCTTGCAAATCAGCTCATAACACTTACGTCTACCTGGAGTCACAGTGGTGGTTGGCTGGTATCCAGGAGATTATCCTAGTTCAACCCTTTTAGACGAGACTACTCTGCCAAATGGCTGATTGTTGGGCCAAAATACGAGGGCACATTTCTGCCTACAATATGCTTTATCCCAAGCGAAATCTTACTATAATGTAAAACTGACGGGATTGCCCCTATATTTTATTGGCTCTATTTAAACAATGTTAAATAAATCGTATTTAAAGGCTCGAAATAAATCTAATACAACTGATATTCAAAAATGTTGACCACATTGACAAATGTGAGCATTGTGGGTACTCCGCAGTACATTTAAGAGTAAATGCGGTTGGATAATTAATAATACTGCTAGTATATGGCGCTAAAGAAACAGAGGTTGGATGATGCTGATGAGAATAAAAAGTCTTTATATATTAACGTGAACAATGAGTGGAGGGTTAAATATGTGCGTGTACAGATATACACGCTTAAAACCAGTGAAAGCCGTGAGAGGACGATGACCCAACTGACTCTTCAAATCTTTGCAAGAGATCTTTGACATCATCGGGATCACTTAATGCATCGACCATGAACCTGAGGAAACGAAGACCATAGTAGCGTGGGTTGACAGCAGAGATGGTGTGACGATCGTATCGAACAGATTTGGCAATGTGTTCGACTCGTTTTACAGTGTTGTATGGTGTAAGAATGTCTATGACCCCGAGGTAGTAAATAAGGTTCGTGTTTCTGTCAAGATCATTTGTCGCAAAAATACCACCATCATCACGATAAAATATTGAGTGATGTTGCTCATGGAATACGGGTTGGAGTAATGAGGATTGTTGCTTTTCAGGGAGGTTGTCAATCACAACTGGATCAGTGCGTGACACCTTGTCTCTGATTGTATTGGCACGGTTTGCCTGTTTGAGAGCCTTTGGTGGAAGCTCGGTCTTTTCAGGGTCAAAGACCGAAAGTGTTGCGTCCCGAATGCGGCTTTGGTTGCCAAGGCGGACATCGTGTACTCCAATCAATAGACTGTAATCCATAATCTTGAGTTTGATCAATAGGCCAACATCACGAATAAGCTGCTCAACAAATTGGCGTCTCTTTTGAGGACCAAGCTGAAGCTTACACTTGTTGTTTAGCCAATTTTTATCTTTTAGACATGCCCTGGGCTTCGCCGCAGCTTCAGGACTCAATTCACGGCCAAGCATTGATCCCTTAAGATCGTATTGGATATGGATGTCCTTGTTTGGTGGGAAGATGTTGCTCATTACAATAAAGTGGACCTTTTTACCTTCGGGTGTCTTGATGCGATGAAGGCCATATATCCTGGAGAGGAGCGTGTTTGGGTTCTGGCTTACATACTCGTAGTAGTTGGAAAGAATTTTGCGCATGAACTTGTGCTCAGTGTGATGTACAGTTTTGATAATAAAGCGGAAGTCCTGCGAGTAATAGAAGAATGAACCCGATTTTCCTGACGACCCAATCTCAGACATGATATATTTATCTGTTAGGGATACCAGGTAATCGGAAGATTCTAAATGGAAGGCCTCACGAATATGTCTAAACACCCATGGGGCGTAGTCCTTGAATTTAAAGTCGTAGTGGGCAACTGGGGTCATCTCGTCACCAACAATATCAAAAGAATATTTGTTGGCAGCCATGTAATCGTCCCTTACTACTGGTCTGTCTGGCTTGGCAGAGCAGCGCGAAACGGAAATGCGGATACCAGTGAGCATGTTGTACATTAGCATATAATTGGTGTGCCCCTCTGAAATCCTGGTACCAAAGGCCATTGGATTGTTTCCAGATTTCCGGCGCGATGCTCTGTGGCTCTTCCGTACCTTCAGACGGGCTTGGCTCCAATCTATCCTATCATCGTCCATGTTTGTTTGAACCGCGTGATTGACACGACGCTTGGCGGATGGCGCGCTCATAATAATGTCGCCTGCAACAGTGTTTCTACGTCGAAGGGGGTGGTGCTTGGCAATTCGCACACCCTCGTCATCGTTATCCCCATCGTAGCCAGGCTCTGGCTGCTGTGAAGTTTGATCCTTCCTTGACGGAGGGGGTGATTGTTTTAGCGGATCATTATTCTCGGCAAGCTTGGCTAAAGGGTGCTCGCCCCATGGGTTCTCTTCAGGAGATGGGACCCTGTAGCCCCTCCACCTTGGTCGCACCGTTCCGTCTTGGGCATCATCAGTTCCCTCGTCTTCGATGGGTGGAATAACCTGCGATTCTACTCTGTAAGCCAGATATGCCCGACTGCTGCTCTTCTGCCAGTACAGCCTGTTCTCAAAGGCCATGTCCATAGAGTTTGCACGAACAGAAAAATCGGTTGCTAATGGCGGGGCAGGATTTGTACTTTGAAATTTGTTTGCATTTCTTTTTTCATTCCCAATTGCCTGCAATTCGGGGTGGCTGGTGATAGTACCAGGGGCTATAATGCTAGGCTCCCGCTTTTTTCCCAAAAAGTTGACCTGGTCTTTGTCATATTCCTCCTTGTCGCCTTCAACATCGGAGATCGATGGGTGGCTACTATGAGAGGGTGTTCGAGGCAGTTGATGAACGAAGCCGTGACCATTAATTGGTACTTTTTGGGGCGCGGAAGGCCTTGGATTATAATACTCTTCGTCCAACCCCTCCAATGGTGACAACGGTTCAGGGTAGGCCTGGGAATCACGGCTATAATAGGTAAGCGTAGAAGAAAGTGACGAGTCTTGGCCCTGCAATGCAAGTGTGGTAGGGGACAAGGTCTTCTTTTCTAAAGCGTAAAGATACAATTTTGCTTAGTTGAGTTGTATGATAGCTTGGTTTGTTGATGTGAGACACTGAAACAAAGAAAACTAGCACATAAAGGAATAGAGGGTGTATATATGTACGTGTATATGTGTGTGTGTGTGTGTGTGACTAGGGGAGGATATCAAAACCACTTGATGAAACAAGTAGAAAGAAAATGTTTGCTAAAAGGGTACTTTTAAGGCAGTTGTGAGGAAGAGTAATGTTTATGTGCGTGAAAGAGCGTGTGGGATAAAAATAAAGGAATGTCTGGGGATAATATACCAAAGGGGAGATAATAAAACAAAGACAGCCGAAAGAAAGAATCCATGGAACAGATTTGGAATCCAATGAAACACGTCTTTGCATGATTTTGGCCCATTCTATCAAAATGCGATGGGACCAAGTGTGCTAAGATTCTGGTCCATAGGGTGTGAAGGTGTTTTACTGCTGTAAAGAATTTTCTGCTACTGCCCAGGAAAGGCTTTTGCTAAAGTGAGGCTGATGATGACATAGCAATGTGGCAATACAACGTACCTTTAAGTGTAATTAGATTTGTGTTATCGACTATATTCCCCGGGAGATCCGGAAGAGGTCCCTGGGGCAGTGGAGGCGGTGTTGGTCTTGAGATATCCCTTGGTGGAGCCATACTAGGCAATGGGATAAACCTCTCTGATGCTACAGGCTGGTGCCGGAACCCGTCTCTGTCCTGGTTACCATCAAAGTGGCGTCTGTGATCATATGGAGATACAGTATGCCCGCTATTGAATGCAAGACTGTTTTGAGGAATTTCATTTGGAATGTGGGAGTGTGCGCTATAGTCGTCTTTGCTTTCCCTGCCATTGGCCTGGCTACTCATGGCTTCTCTGGCGTTGTTGACTGGTATAAATCCAGCTGGCTCACCAATTCGGGCTGGATAGGCCCATGGCCTCATGAATTGTTGCTGCTGTGAAGGCAAATCTCCATCATTCCCAAGCCCTGCGCCGCCACCAGGGGCAATATATGTGTTCGCGTCTATGACTCTAAAGTTGCGGTTCGAGTTTTTTCTAGGGGTGTTGTTAATTGGGGGTCGCAGGCGAATTGGAATGCGAGGAAGGGGAATGTCTGGGACAATTGTGAGGTTGTGTTTGGAGGTTTGGGTGGCGTGGTGCTGGTGGTGTTGCTGGTAATGTGCAGCAGTCTCTTGGGCATAAATAGAAGCCTGGTGATATGGGCTGCTTCCAGGGTCAAGAAGTGCAGTCATTATTATTGCTTCATGAGCAGCTGTAGGTTGGTAGTCTTTAGTAGAGACTGTTTTTGCTCCTGCTTATCCCTACTACCCACGGCTAGTGTTTGCTGTTCTATAAAAAGCTCTGGCAACGAGTTTTTGAAGAGCGCAGGCTGAATTGGCAATGCTAGGTAGGAAATAATTAGAACAAAATGCTAAGGAACTAGTAGTACAAGAAGAAAGCTGTGAAGCAACAAAGAGCGTGTATGCTAAAAACTTGTACTCAGCGTACACAATAAAACAACACCTGTCAAAGCATGGCGCCCAAGCTCACACGGAACTGCCTCGGCTGAGTGAGCCAGTTACCTAGCACATCGCCTATCACCCACTTGAGGCCAGACATGCATTACTTGTTTACATCATTGGAACTTAATAGTTGAGCAGTGTGAGGAGGCCTGATAGCACTGTGCCTCTTAAAATAATAATATCTCTCTATCACCCCCACCAGCAAATGCGCAGCTGAAATGCCAGCTCTTTATTAGACAACACCAAGCTCACTTTCTAAGCAGAACAATAAATTTCGTTTATTTATTTATTTCAAAAAAACTGAGTAGATTGAAGCTTTTGGTGTAAACTAGTTAGATCTCACCACAGCCGGCAACGGAAATTTCTTTTGAAGTCTTTCCTGCCTTGGACCCAAGAGCCTCCATCATTCTCACGATCTCCATTCCTG